ATGGTTGCAACCCAAAATAAGGTTTTACGAAAATTCGCAAACGGAATTATTCTACAGGATGTATCAAGGTTAGGATATTAGAACCACGTTTTAATTAACCCCGTACAATTGGTCAAATATAAAATTTTTTTAAAAAACTGACTATACTAAATTAAAATTTATAAATTTATGCAGTGTGCTAAAAAATCATCAAAATAGGGCTAAAAATAAAAAATTAAAATACTTTGAATTTGACTAAAACCTGGAGAAAATTTGTCTTAAATATAAACAGTACAACACCTTTATCTACAGTCTGGTCCAATATTCGAAAAATATTAGGAAAAAACAAATTTTACCAAGTGCCTTTTATTACTCATAATACTAGTGTAATAGAAAAACCTAACGAAATATCTGATGCTTTTGCTACATACTTCGAAAAAAACTGCAGCAATAGCAACTATTCCGAAGCGTTTATACAAAAACACGAACACAAAATCAACACAGAAAAACAACAGCTCGATTGTGAGGATAGAGATAATAGATCCTTTAATATTCCTTTAACCTTACATGAACTTAACTATGCCCTTAATACTACAAAAAACTCTGCTCCTGGACCCGATAATATACCTTTAGCATTCTTGGAAGGACTTCCAGACAATGCTAAGTATACTCTTCTAAAAATTTGCAATCGAATATGGTTAAATAATGTCTTTCCAACTTTCTGGAGTAATTCAATAATCATACCTATTCTCAAACCTAACAATGCACGAACTAAAATTTCCTCATATAGACCCATCTCTCTTACCAATGTAATGTGAAAAGTCATAAAAAAATAGTTAGTAAAAGATTGCTATGGATATTAAAAATAAATTACCTTCTGATTAACGAGCAAAGTGGATTTTGACAAAACCTCAAAACTACTACTGATAACCTCATTAATTTAGAATCTGATATTCTTCAATCTTTTGCGAACACGCAGGAAACTATTTCAGTATTCATAGACATTACAAAAGCATTTGACACAGCAAGGCGTTACGATATTATCAGATCATTACACACTTGGAATATTAGAGGTAATATTGTTAATTTTATTTTAAATTTCCTTAAACAACGCAATTTTCAAGTAAGAGTCAACCACTGCACATCTTCAACAAGATGTCAAGCTAATGGCACCCCTCAGGGGTCTGTAATAAGCGCAACGTTATTTTTAATTGCAATGAATAATATTATAGCCTCAAACTCCAGCTTAGTTCGTGGCAGATTATATACGGATGATTTGGTGTTGTATCTTCAGGAAAAAACATCTCATCAGTACAAGCGTCACTTACAAACCTCACTTCATGAACTCGAAAACTGGTCAAAGCAAACAGGATTGCAGTTTTCACTCAGCAAATCAAAGTGTTTGTTATTTTCAAATTTATGTAGAAACGTAATCCGATTAAACCGCAACTAAAATTACTTAACCAAATCCTGAATTATGCCGATGACATAAGGTTCTTAGGGATGATTTTTGATACGAAACTCACATCGAAAAAACACATTCTACAAATAAAAAAAAACATGTCCAAATGGAATTAATCTTATGAAAACTTTATCTAATAAAAACATGTGAGCTGACTATAACTGCTTAATCCATGTTTATAAAATCCTAATTAGATCCAAAATAGATTACGGTTCCATAGGATATGCATCTGCTAAAGACTACCTATTACACCACCTTGACGTAATTCAAAATACGGCATTAAGAATAGCTACAGAGCATTTCGGACCAGCCGAATAGAAAGTTTACGAGCAGAAACTGGAGAGCAATCACTTAATGTATAAAATGATGCACTTATCTCTCACATACGCATTTGCTGCTAATTCTAATTCAAACAATCCATCTAGAAGTAACATATTTACTGATCGTTTTAAAACCTATATACTGAAAAATAGGAACATGAAACCGCCATTCTACGAAAGAGTAGCAAACCCTTAGAACTTTACAAATTCCGATACCAAATACCTATTCCAACTCTATAGAAATTCCTCCTCCTTGGACATTAAGCATTCCTCAATCCGATACATCCTTAAATATCTTCAGAAAGAACGATACTCCACACTCCTTAATAAAAAATACTTTCATCAACAAACTAACAAAATTTTCTAAATCCTATCATATATACACAGACGCTTCTAAAACATCTACTGGAGTTGGGGCAGCTTTCATTACTCCAAATATTACACTTGAGTATAAACTACCATCTTTAAGCTGTATAACATACTGGCGAGCTATATGCCATCTATCAAGCTCTCGTTCATATTAACTCCAGTAATATATCCAATGCTCTTATAATTACCGATTCCCTCAGTTCCATCAATACCATTAACCCACTGTACACAAAGCATCCAATGCTCTCGTAATTTAAAAAGAACTAACGACCATTCAAAACAATAACTACACTGTACAATTCCTATGGGTTCCTTCACCCATTGGCCTTCAAGGAAATGAAGAAGCGGATCGTACAGCCCAACAAGCCAGGAACACTGAAACCGCGAGTGAAGTGAGAGATGTAGCTCTTTAATGATTTAAAATCATTTATTAAAGTGAAAGTCAAAAATCTGTGGCAAAACCAGTAGGACAGTTCAACTTCAAAACTTCGCGAAGTGAAAACGTGTGTAAAACCGTGGAAATCTCAAATTTCCAACAGAACTCACCAAGTCATTGTTACTCGTCTTCGTCTAGGACATACCCGACTTACCCACGGACAAAATTGGTCACACTAATCCGACTTTATATGAAAACTGTAATATCCCACTAAGTGTTAAGCTTGTACTTGTAGAGTGCCCAAGATACCAGTTGCAGAGACGGAACAACCACATCATCGGATCAACAAGTGAAATCTTAGGAGAAAATTGTAAAATTGAACATTTGGTAAAATTCCTTAAACATATCAATGTATTTAACCAAATTTAACATTTGTAAATAAATTATCTTATGTATATGCATATATGTTACTAATAACCTCAGAGGTTGATGCGATTATTTTGTAAAATAAAAAAAATCCTATTAACCAGTAAACTTTTCAACAATTTTAAAAAGTAAAGTACAAATCACTATAATGAACTCTAAACAGTTTTCGTCCAAAAAAATATTGTAGTGAAAACGTTCAACAATGAAAAGTTCAGGGAATTTAACCTCCGTTAGTCGCTAGGAAAAACTGAGCATCAAGAGTCGCTACGGTGTCTGAGACCGACAATTAAAAAATATTGTCTTTAATATAAAATTCATACAAATATTTTATATTGTTTATAGAAATAACTAAAAAATATTTTTAAAAATATTTTATTGAAAAAAAAAACAGATACAAAATAAAAAACACTAGGATAACAATATATTGTGAATATTGTTCTGAAGCTATTTTCTTGTGGCATTTTAAAGTAATTACTGTTTAAATGATAATAAGCCACAATTAAAAGTTAAGGTAGGTTTATTGATGGTTTAATTTTCACATCGGATATGGTTCTCAGAATACAAACATTAGTTTGTGTTACGTACTATATAATTTTCTTGTATTGTTCTAACATTTTACGGTGGAATAGCCTTTTTTCATCTAGTAACGCTATATTTTTCAATAAACGCTAAGGTATTACTTCCACTTTCTTTTTTCTCATCTGTCACATCTTGTTCCGATTCATTTCCACCATCACCACCTCAATATGATCTATTTTGCTTTCACTTTCCTCATCGTCAAAATAATTTTCATCGTCGGTAGGAATCATGTCCATAATTCCAACAAGCGTTGGAATCAAAGTTCTTCGGCTTCAAAGGACATCTATAAATAAGAATTGACAAAAACTTACCGATAAAATGTAATAATAAGATGATAAATATTTACCTGTTCTGCAAGTTCTGCAACAAATAATAGCTACACCGTTAGTCGCTACGGATTCTGGCACCGAAAATAACTATAAAACTCACACGACTGTACCCAGGAATGTAAGAATGTACACTAACACGAGTTTAGTTGATAGGGAGAGGTACAGAAAGTGGCTATAGAAAAATAACAGTTATTTGTAAATACCGAATGAATAATGTTGTCGTCGGTGTGTGAGACCGATAGCGACTAACGGAGGGTTAAATAAAAAGTTCGACATTTTAAAGAGTATGACAACAGTTTACCAATAAGATACATAACTGTGAGTAAGAAAACGAAGTACATTCTAACCGTTTAATATAAGAACTGTTACTTTAATATTTATTACTTAAATGCGAAATTACAATTTTAGTAATTATGTAATTGTCATTTAGTTTTATTAAATTCGAATGATTAAATAAATATTTTCAATACCTTTTAAACGAGATATCGCTTGCCATAATATCCCATTTAAAATTATTGGTCACAGTGGCTCTGTGACGTCATCTATGACTTTTACTTCACCTGTTATGACAAGTCGACAAGCCTAAGCCCGTTCAATATTTTAACCCTCCAACAGATATGAGGGGGTGGATACTTTTGGCTAGCACTGTATAGCGATTGCATTTTCATCATCTATTGTTTGGATTTGCAATTTATTGTTGCAATGTGTGTACATAAATATTTAGCGCAGATAAAATTCCCTAAATAATTTAGCTGCCGTATATGGATTTAATAATCTCATACGGTAGATATTATTTAAGTATAAATAAGCATTTTAATCTATTTATACTACACAGTATATTACTATGTTTTATTATCAAATTTATGGCTTATTTCAGTTTATATTTTTTTTATCAATATTAATTAAATTAATACGCTGTTAATATTTTTTCGATATTTAATATTATCTTGGCTTTTTATTTCCCTATAAAAGTGCGGAATTATATTTATTTTTATTTAAAAGCAGATTTCAAATCACAACCACAGCGCCCTATATATACAACGCGAACTTATTTCTACACTATTTTAAAACTTGTACACAGTAGGTCCCTCTACACCGCACACAATGAAACGGACCACCTGATGCCACCGCATTGCGATATTTACCCGAAATAACTTCCAGTCGACACACATCTCCTCGCTCTTGATTCTATATATAAATTTAGTTAGTCGGCAAGCATGGATTCCATGCCAACATCTCGCGAGAAAAGTGAAGTGAACGGTGTTAATAATGAATCCGAAAAAATTGATATCGACAAAATTAAAAACATGCTCACAGAAGAACAAGTGCATAGTGATACAATTGCCCGAAGACGACGAAGATTTACAAAGAAGCGAAGCACTAGTTTGACAAGACGAGATCCTACACCAGTAAGACACTTGGATGAAAAATTTACTTCAGACGAAGAGCCAGTCGAGCCGAAACCGAAAACACCCGAACGACCACGTAGGCCGAAAAGAAACAAAAGTTTAATAAAACACAATTTGAGTGAAACAGATACACCTTCTGTCGAAGATAGCAACAAAAGCAACAATGTTAGTAGAAATAACAGTTTTAGAACTAAGCTTAAAAGGTTTGAGGCACAACTTAAGGCCATTGAAACAAATGCTCCTAGAAAGAAAAGTTTATCGGACTTGGCACAGGATGAAGTGGTTGCAATATTTAACAAAACTAAGAAAAGCATAACAAATGCCGCAATAAAAGGTAGGGAGAGATTTAGAAAAGATAAGGAAGTAGCCAAAAGAAGCCAATCGGCACCAAATAAAATAGTAGATCAAGAGTTTAATAAACATGTTCAAAACGGAGAGCAAATTGAACAACTATCACAAGAAAAACCTAGAAAATATTCTGAGTCTGATATGATTATGGAAAGACTGCGGAAATATTCAGATTCTAGCTTACATACAACCATACAAGATATTGAATTCTCAGGTCCTATAATTAAAAAAGCTAAAGCGTTAAGACGAGAGTCGCCATCAGGACTTCGCCATAGAAAAAAACCTGAATTCTCTTCAAAGGTAGTGGAAATACTTGATCCTAGAACACTAAGCGTAGTTTCAAGAAAAACAGTTTTACGCCTTCCAGAATTAAAATTAAGAGACTTATACAAAATACTAAGGTTCTATTCAATATTTGAAATTTTCAGAGCCTACAGATTATACAAAGTTGAAATGAAAGCTGAATACAAAAAGATAAAAACCTTGTGGAATAAATGCATGTTTGAACTGTTTTTAATAATGATGTTTTGTGGTGCAGCTGGCTTTATTTTTAAATATACTGAAGGAAGATTTGAAAATTTCTACAAATGTGGAGTTAAAAGAGTTAAACGAGACTTTATTGATTTACTTTGGTCCAAAAGCCATAATTTAAGAGAAGATGATTGGAAATCTTTATTTCGAAATAAGCTAAAAACATTTGAAGAAGAACTGCATGCAGCTCATGAAGCCGGTATGACCTCTTACAGTGGACAACGTTCCTGGAGTTTTTTAAACAGCGTTGTGTATGCTTTGACTATTGTCACAACTATTGGTAAGCAATCTAGTTCGTTTATTAAATAGAACTTTTTTAGTTAAGTTAAATTTCTATTTTCGTGTTAATTTTTAGTTTATATAGTTGAGTCCATAGTCCATAAGTCCGAAATTTACTCCACGCAACAGCAAGTCACCGAAAGTGGCTACTCCCAAAAAATTAGATAGAAAATTATTAAATAATCTAAAATATTGGTTTTGTTTTGTACAGCTATATTTGAAGTAGCTCAATAAATTCTTTTAATACCATAAGTGATTATATACATAAATACACAGTTTATCAAAAATATAATTAAATATACATTTTTTACAGTGTCTTAATGTAATAGGTAACATTGAGTTATTTAATGAATGAAACATTATTTAGCTCAAATAATATTATTGCAATATTTTAAATGTGTGTTTTTTGCTTCTCATATTTTATTTTCATCACCTTTAGAATCTGAACTGTTATTTCCAATGTTAATTATTGCAGATTCGGTATTAATATTACACATATTTTCTTCTGGAATAAACCACTATTCAATTAATTTATTAGAGAGAGAGAAAGAGAGAGAGAGAGAGAGAGAGATGTTTATTGTTTTTAAAATTAGATTACATTTATAAAACACAACATGGTATAGTACAAAAAGGTACAAGATATATTAAAATACTAATTATAAAATTTCCATAATTAAAAAATATATATCAATTAGCGCAACTGTCCTCAAAAAATTCCTCTATACTATAGTAACATTTAGATAACAAAAACTTCTTGATTGCTCTTCGGAATACAAAAATATTGCCTTGGTATCTTATATCGAGTGGTAGGTGATTAAACACTTTCTTACCAGTGTAAATAAATGATTTTTTAGTTAATGCAGAAGAGGGAATTGGAAGTGGAATAACATAATTTTGACGAGTATTATAAGGGAAAACTGTTCGAATATCCTCTTTATGTTTTTTAAAAATTTAGCACCCCAATTCAAGGATATAATAATATATGCAAGAAAGTGTCAAGATACCATGTTTCCGGAACAAAGACCTACATGATGTACCAAACTTGACCTTGCATAAATATCTGAGTGCTCTCTCTTGTAGCATAAAGTTTCTACTGAAATGATGAAGAGAACAGCTACCCCAAAAGGCAATACCGTATCTCAAATTAGATTCAATCAGGGTCACATAAACACTTTTTGCAATTTTGAAATCTAAATGGTGAGCAACTGATTTGACCGCAAAGCAGCCCGATGATATCTTTTTGCTTAAATATACAGTGTGTTGCTCAAATTTAAGTTTATTATCAATATAGAGACCTAAAAATTTGTTTCCAGTATCAGAACATAAGCTTTCATTGCCCAGAGTAATGTTGTTTAGATCATTCTTAAAAGAAATTAATTTAGTTTTTGAAAAATTAAATATCAAATGACTAGCTTTGCACCATTTAAAAATTTTTGCATATCACTACTAATAGTCTTGTTCAGTACTGTAGAGTCCTTGTTTTGCCATAAAATTGTGGTGTCATCTGCAAATATAGTAAACCGGCCAATAATGTCAAGGTTAGTTATATCTTTAAAATATATCAAGAAAAAGATAGGACCCAAGACAGAGCCTTGAGGTACTCCACAATTAATAAAGATATTACTAGAGTAGCGCTCATTGATTGATACAGACTGGCATCTGTCTTCTAAGTATGAACTGAACCACTTTAGAGCATTGCCTCTAAAACCATATCTTTACAGTTTATTAAGTAGTATTTTGTAATTGACACAGTCAAAGGCTATAGATAGATCACAGAAAACTGCGGCAGCAACATAATCGTTATTTAAGTCCAATTATAGTTTTTCCATGAATTTAAAGATGGCATCATATGTACTTTTTAATGACTGGAAACCGAATTGGAAGGAAGAAAGAAAATTGTGTTTTGCAAGAACGTCATCATTCGGATTTTTATCAATTTTTCTACAACCTTTGAAAGTGACGGCAACAAAGAGATAGGAAAGATATTAGTACCTATGTTCTACACACATTGCCCAGGCCAGATCGTTACACTTCTTCTTCTTCCTTCTTGTATGTAGGCTTTAAAGTCTGTCTCTTCTTCAATATTATCCTCCTAAATTGTTTAATTTGTCGCACCTTCTTCTTCTTGGTCTGCTAATACTTTTTCGTCAATTTGGTGACTTATCCCGTGTTATTCGTACTATTCTATCCTCTGCCATTCTACTGATATATTCGTTCCACTCCTTTTTTCGTTTTGTCACCCATCCATTTATGTCTTCTATATTTCATGCTCTTCTTATGTTTTCGATTTTCTCCCTATCCAACAGACTGTTCCCTGATATTCGTTGGAGTATTTTTATCTCTGTTTCTAGTAGTCGTCTCGTTTTAGATATGTTAGATCTTGTCTACGCCGTGTATGTTAATATAGGTCTAATTGCTGCTTTACAGATTCTTGTTTTTGTGTCTTGTCCTAGTTGTTTGTTTTTCCAGATTGTGTCATTAAGAGATCGCGCTGCTTTACTTGCTTTTAAGCTTCGTTGTCGTACTTCTTCTTCGACATATCCTTCTTCTTCTTACGGTGCCTTTCCGTTCCAGATAATGGCGATCAACATGACTATTCTAACTTTGCTTGCTGCTATTCTAAATAGTCCGGTTGTCGATGTATTAAACCACTTTCTCAGGTTTTGAAGCCAAGATATTCTTGTATTTTTCTACGTAGGACCTCAACATTAGTCACACGATTTACCCATGAAATTCTTAAGATACGTCTGTAACACCACATCTCTAATGCCTCGAGTTTTCTTAAGAAAGCTTCGGAAAGCGTCCAGGCCTCTACTCCGTATAATAAGGTAGAAAATAGATAGCATCTAGTGAGAGAGATTTTGGCAAGTGGTAAATCATGACTTCTGAAAAGAGACTTCAACATCTCCGTAACTAGTTATATCTATTCCCAGATATCTAAACCTTGCTTCCTGCTTTATTATTTTTCCATCAATTTCGATTTTAAACCGTAGTGTGTATTAAGAGGTTGACATCGTTACACTTTTAAATTAATTGCTTCCTTCCAAATAATTAAAACATGTTCATTAGGGTGGATCAAAAAGTTTCGAAAGGTGTTTTGGAATACTACCAAAAAGTTGCCAATTAGCATTACAAACCTGATTCTTAGTTGCGATTTTTCAAAAAATATTTATCTTCTGCCCTCAACCGGGGGTTAAAAAAATAAAACATATAAAACTTATGATTTTAATTGATAATTTAAGTAATAAGAAATACGTTATGTTATTATTAAAAAAATATTATTTAATCAATCGAAATATTTTTAAAACATGTCATTTTTATTCATCTACCCACTCCCTACCCTCCGTCTTAATTTTAATTGTTTATTGTTTGTTGTCTTTTTCAACTCAAATTTTATCATATTTTTGCGTGAATTAATTTTTGTTTTCATTAAATTGTCGCTTTCTTTGTGACCTAACAAGCGATGAAAATCACTCAGTTACGAGTTTTATGAATCTCTCTATAGATTGGGTGTAACAGGGAAATGTCGCAATCACGATGATTTTTTCAGGAGACCCGGAAATATTATTTTTCAAATCCTCCCAAAATATTTTTAAACTTTGAAGCAATGGTGGGTAAGTCATTTTATTGTTTTGCCAATCAATTAGATCAATATATTCATCTGCGTCAAAATAATTTGTGGAATAATGAAAGATTGAATATTAGATTAATCATTATTGGCCCTAGCTTTGCATTGAGAATGCGTCGAAGTAAGGGTCCTATCATAAGCGTGAAGCTGACGGACAAATCGTTGTAAAGGGCGTCCTAACTTAAGCTTTAGTTGAGAAATTACACCATTTTTTTCCCTATATTTGCCACAGTTACGCCACAGCCTACTACCACTAGTTCTTCAAGGTTATACTTAGAACTCTCTAAAAAGTTGACAATACTTTAATAAACACTTGGAGTAGAGCTGACCTAGAAAGCGATACTGTGTGACCTAAAAATATGGAGCCTATCTCTTGAACCAATGAAAAATGCTTTTGCTGCGAGTGCTGTTCTTTGTGAGTCTTGCCTTCAATATTTGCGATAACTAAGGTTTTATCTTTTCTTTCTTAAAAATATATGGCTTTGAAAGTTTCGTGGGAGTTTTACATAAAACCTTTTCTTGATTGGTCTCCTGCTCTTCTTAGTCTATTTCTGTCTAGTACGTTTTTCTTGTTAACTTTGGTAACAATTTCAAGGTCGTGTAGCCCTACCGTTGCCACAGCTGCTGCAGATCTGTTGGATAGTCCATAGCGATCACAGACCTTGGCCAAGGTAGAAAGTTTGAAATAATTTTGTGGACACTGCATTTCTGTATTGATATTGGCATACAAAGCAAAAGGCAATTTATGATCTATTTCTATATCAGTTGCGGGCTTTCACCTTTTTAATAAGTTAATTCTGCTTTTATCTTAAACGGATTGATTTACTTCTTTTCTTTGCATTTGTTTTTCCATTTTTCTGGTCTTATTTGTTAGCTTTAAGTTTTCCTTTACATCGATATTTCCAATAATTATTTTTCTTAATTCAATTTAATTTAGGGAAAACCTACGTTTATTTTTAGGTACCTTTTTTACCTTGCCACAAGAAGAAGTTTTAAATACTGGTCTTGATGCATTTAGGTGCTATCATCTTAAAGAGTAATCTTTACATATTTTCTCATAAGTAAAACTTAAATTTTTTTACAAACTAAATAAAAATAACAAAATTTAATAAAGCAAAATTATTTAACATGGTGTTGAAATAATATCAGTTTAAGACTATAAAAAACTAATATAATTGAATTTTGTTCACTTCTTCTATGATGATGCTGACGATTTTTAACAAAATTAAAAATGATGTGCTTATCTGGATGATACATTATTTTCCCGATCAGAAAGAACAGGAATGTCTTTGTGATCTCTGGATCCAAAACTCTAACAATAGGTAAAGTGAAGTATATTCATCTCTATTAGTTTAAACGTGCATTATTATTTT